TAGAGAATCATCATGTGATATGTCATTTGATATTGAGCAACTGTCTCTGAGAAATAGTTAAATAAAGGGATAATAAAGAATTTAGTAGATCTCATGAAGAATCGTAATCTTGAATTAAAGAGTCTTGTAAGTAATCTTGAGTTAAAGCGCGGGAAATCATAACAAAACAGTTCCGCTTTAGAGATTAGCATTTAAAAACCAAAATATTCATTATCGAAGATTGCTTTGGTGGCAAGATCTGCATTTTAAAAATTGTGGTGAGCATTTTTAATTCAATCTTTGATTTCGCTGCAGTGCTAATTCTTTTGATCATGTGAAGAATTCATCTTTATCACTGATACATTTTGTTTTGTTTATTCAGACAAAACTGACATTTTATTTCATTAAGAAGACAAACAAACTTCTTTTTCAGAGAGGAACTAAACAACATTATGTCGCTGGTTCAAAGCAGAGAGCAAACAAACTGTAGAGTAAAAGTTAATTCATTTCTAAATAAAGGAGCTGATAATTACTTATTGAAGCTAGTTACAGCATATTATTAAAGCTAACTACTATGTTGACAATTTTTTAAGGATTAATTTACTGAAATAGGTACTATACTACAAACAGTTCTTAGTTTTCTCGTTAAATAACATTTTCTCTTCTTAAACACTTGTAGAGTCATTATGTTATTTTTAAAGCAGGAATGATGAAAAATGAGCAACTCCCTCGCCAACCACGGATCTCTGGAATACGCACCCAGCGTGCTGACCACTACACTACGAAGGCATGCTAAGAAGACGGGAGAAATACCTTATTCTCTGACCGGTATAAAACTTCAGTAATGTAAAGAACAGCACTTGAAAGAAAGGAAATTAAATTTATTTAAACTTCCAGCAACCTTCTAAAATTCAAAATTTCTCGAATGAAAAGCTAAATAATGAACTACTTTCAATGAATGAGCAGAAAAACATATGTTTCTAAAATTGCTTTCATAGAATAATTTAAAATCTACCTCATTCAGCACTGCTGCATTTCGTCCTAAACTTTTTTTTTTTTTTTTAAATTTGGATGATGTCGATGAATACAAAAGTATGCTCTAAGCAGAAGGATGTCTTCGCAGAGATCCTCTTCTTCTTCGTAGAGGAAATAATATTTTTGAGAATCTTCCATGCAGCAACTTCTTTCACGAGACTCAGATCCGATTCCTACCACAATTGCTCATTGAAGTGGCCTGGCAGTCGCATCTGTATTTCCTACTGAGCTGAATAATATCATAAAAAATATATACAGCTCTTCGGGCTATTGCGCCTGCGTTGCTGTAAAATGTGACCACATATCATACTGAAAAAGGTTGAGAAAATTTCTTTGAGAGCTGTTTTTGAAGTGCTTCGTGCTATCGCTGTACTTATTTAAAATAAATAATTAATATTTATTTTAAATAATAGTGATATGCATTGTTATATTCTTGCATATACTTATATACATATTATAAATATAGTGGTACACATTTGTTAGCTTTAATCTCCGTTATCAATCTCAGGACGGCTAGGGGTAAGTCGGGCTTTCACTTTTCATTCAATCGGGATAACTCTTGCATTTTATAAATGCTTTATTATTACAATAATTATATACATATCATTACGGAAATTTAACATTAATCCTAATCTCTCGCTTCCCGATTCTCGATTGATATCGTGCGCCCTCTATCGGCGGCTTTTCTACAATGCCATCTATCGGCTGATAACACATTCTTATATTTTTGTGCCCTCATTGTTTGCAGTTTATTAATTTTATGATATTAAATTAATTTTATGATAATAAAACAGAGCAAAAATCAGATATTTTTCCGGAAATACTTGAGCAGGGTGGGAGAGCCATAGGCACTGGGCGGTACTTTATAAAAATCTATTAAGGGGAAACGCGAAGGAGAAATGATTGGACACCGTTGGTATAGTACATCTTTTATAATATTATTTTTTATTACACAGAAACTCGCCTGGCATTGCAGAATCCAGATCTCTTTCAAGGAGACATTTTAGGATTTGAACCTGGAGTAAGTAATTTTTTCTTAAATAATTTATTAGTGCATATGTAACACGAACGTACATGTAACACGTTACAATGTATCTCATGTAACCCTACTATAAAAAACGAATACCGCTTACTGTATCAACATAAATTAGCATGCTTTTCTGTTCCCTTTCGATCTGTTTTTAGTCGGATACTTTGTACATGTAAAAACTAATTCTTCAAAAATCTATCTTTAGACTAGACAATTACTATCAGAAACAATTACTAATAGAAGTCTGAACTTAAAAGATACATTTCTTTCATTTAGAAGATTTTTTTTATTATATAAGATTTAAAATATATTTTTAATTTACTTTATTAATGTAAAATGTAACCCTATTTGGTACTTTTCAGTTATGCCGGCGCAGCGATAAAGTCGCCAACAGTGGTACAACTGGTGCCAAGTCTAATATCCTCGTTGGTAACTCTAAGCCTCATTTTCAAAACAATTCGCAGCCATTTCTTATCAAATTGATTATTTCTTTCAATACTCGTATACAATCACATAAAATTTTATGCCCTAAGGCCATTCGCAGTAATTAAAGTGAATTAGGGTGCAATCACATCACTCACCGAAGGCGAAAATATAGAAAAGGTAAAGGCTTAAATTCATCAATTCTGATGAGAATGCACAAGCGAAGTAAAGCATTGCGGTTGTGCATAATATCTGAGTAAACTATTCGTACGAATTAAAATGATTCGTGCATTTAAACTTCTATTCTACATTAAGATTTAACTTAATTAATGTCGATAATTACTGAGAGAATTAGATTTTTGTAGCGTACTTTACATCAAATGAGGTTACGTGATATGAACCGGCAAATCGAGATGCTGTACCATGAAAGCATAGTAAATTCTGAAATTAATGTCTTTTTACACATATATTGTCTATATTTATTGTCTTTATACAAAATTTTAAACGATATTAAAATGTTTATGCCTTAGAAATTCTTAGAACTAACATTTGTTAACATTTTTTATGTGTACACTGTGTGTTTTCGCCAATAAAGTCTGCTTGGCGAGTTTTGCGCCGGCGAAACGGAAAAGTACCATGTCTTTTTATGATTTTCTTTTCTGTATTTTTCTTATCAACAATTAAAACCAGTCATAATTTAGTTCAGATGATATATTACCATTGTAGTAATTACTGCAAACGAACTGTCGTAAAATGTACCCACTGCAAAGCAAAAAATAATTATAAACAAGGAAGAATACATTATTTCTATTTAATTAAATTATATTAATATAAGCTTTCTAAGATTAATATTAATATAAAATATTTATATTTACATTAAATTAATACAAAACTACGAGCAATAACTTAATTATTATTTCTGTCCGTATTCAGTGCTGGAGTATTGTTTTCCAGTACCACTGAATTCTTGTACTGAACACTGACGTAATGCGACTTTATCGACGCCACGATCCACAGGTTCAGAATCATCTAGTGCAGCATTTCTCAAACTGTTCTTAAATGGAAACTACTTTAAGTTCCAAAATTTTTAAGGAGCACTAGAATGAATTTGGGTTTTTAGTTACAATAAATGAAAATACGGATATGGTTTCGGTAAGCAATAAAAGAAATAAAAATTTATTTTATCTTTTTATATAATACGCAAATAAGATAAGGTTTTTAATTTTTTAATGGGTAAAAAATGACTCAAATAATTAAATTAAAACAAAATGCAAAAAAAAATTTTAAACACTTTTAGTTTTCAATGATTTAACATGTGAAATTTGAATTTTTGGTATATATCCTCATGGCGGAAATACAAATATCATTTTTTAAATAATTGTACTTTTGACTATTAAGAATATTGCACTTATTAGATAATAAAAACATTATATTTACTTGCAGTTTTTGAAAGAAGATTAAAAAAGTAAAATTGCAAAGAAAATTAACATTTTTAAAATATTAAAATTAAACTAAAATACTTCGTTACTTCCGAGCACAGAACAGAAACACTACCAGAAATGCATTCTACTTGAATTTTTATGGTAACTTAAGCGTTCTGATATCCTGCTACATAACTAAATTTATTAAATACTCGATTTAAAATCACTTTTTATGTATTAGCCTTAAATTTTCTTTTTATGTTTTAAATTGTTTTAAATACATCAAATCAGACAATGTTTCGTTGCTCTTTAATTCCAGTTTTATAATTTTCTGCGCAACACTTAGTGACTGTGAAATACCAGTGTTCAGCGAAACATAATTTGAAAAATGCTAATCTAGTGAAATTGGTTGTACACAATATTTCTAAAATAGGATATGTATCAAACAAAAAATAGTTCCCGTGTTATCCGTGACCTACTGTTCAATTTCCAATACATTCGAAATTGCCACTCGTTTTGCCTTTTCAAAGAATAGGGTTTTTTAAATGTCAAACAAGGATAAACTCCTACTAGCATATGTCAGAATTCGACGCGGCAGGATCGTGGCCTATCATTCCACGAACTCGGAACTACGATTTGTCGTTCCACGATTTTTCGCTTGTGTAGGCCAGGATCCCATGACTATCAGGCTAGTATGGAATCAATACATCTAAGAGATCTATACTGTACGCAATGTAGGATCTCAGCGGACTAGGCCTCTTTGGCCTCTAACGCCCGAGAGAACAAACATGTTATCAAAAATTATAACTGTGTTATGTCATATGTCTCGCATTGAAACTTTCTGCTTTTATAACTTTTGGAATTTGTATTAATTCTAAGTTTATTAGAATAGGTTTCATTTACCTTTTTTAACTTTTTTGCTTTCAGGATAGAAATGTTGTTCCTTACGAGAGGCGAAGATGGCCCAATAAACGCATTCCTTACGTTATTGACAGATCTCTGGGTAAGAAAATTTGCAGTGATTTACATTTTCCGTAACCGGTGCCTATATTGTATTTGTAATTCCTACATATTATTGTCTTGTACTTATAAAACGTTTAACTAAAAACATCATTCAAATCAAAATTTCCATAGTTATCTAATTTATTCACAGAGTTACGAATGGCATAGTAAAGAATGTCTCATAAGGTGTCCTGAATAGAATATCTAAAATGAATCAAAAATCATAATACGGTAAAAATATGAATTTCCAGCATAACAGCACACCAATGAGCACATGATTTAATCGGATTTCTTTCGTATATCTTTCTGCTGTAGATGGCACTGTTAGCGCGTTATTCGGTAAACTGACAACCCTCGACTACGTAAGTTTTATTTATTTTTTTGTTCAAAAATATTTATGGAATTGAGTATGGTTAAAGATCATAGAAAATATTTTTAAAAATTTACAATTAAGATTTTGGCTTTATTTTTTATTAAATTCTATTGTGAAATGGCAACATAATGCCACCATTATACCAATAGTCATGTCTTATGAAAAATGCATACATGATGCATATGACATATAAATTTATTTTAAATGTTTACCTATGAAATACTTTTTTCGTAAACGAATAGAATATTTAGTGCTCTGCACTTTTGTAAACCCTTCCCTTCCTAGTTTAACATCCTACAATTTTTTTTCCACCAGTGATCTATATAGTAATATACGGACGTTCTTTGGAGTCTTTTAATGAGAGTTTTTATTTTTATTTTTTTCTTTTTCTCCCTCAACTTTTCAGTTTGCTCTTACGTTGGCCTCCTTCACTTTTCAAAATTTTCACATAGTTTCTGTGACTTTCAACCTGAAGTCAAGTAGTTTCATTGGCTTCTCATTTCTGCTTGCGTGCTTATATGCTCTCTTACATAATCACCACACATTGATAACAGCGATATCAAATAAATGATAGAACTATCTAAATACCCCTTTTTGGATTGCATACTCATTTTGTATCGTCCAACGAGAGAATCAAGTAGGTCCACATCCCCAAGCGTTTATTATGTGTTTCTATTACATAATAAAAAACAGCTTTCACATGATACTTTTGCTTCCTGTCAAAGCGTTCTATTTCATTTACAGGATGTGCACCAGCAAACGCGTAGAACATATTGACACTTCTATTACCTTTCGAGGACAGACATAAAAGTTCACATCTTTCATATTGTGAAAAATTCAGTGATGTGACTCTAATTTTAGCTGTTTATGGGTGGAAATTTATAATTAAGCTCTAAATATCAATTCTACTTCTCACAATTCCAAGAGAAAAAATTCCCCATTTTCCTAAAATATACTTGAAGAGGAATCGATATATTATAATTATAAAAATATAATTTATGACTAACGTTTTCACTAACAGGACGAATTAATCTAATAATTTTACTACTGGCACATCAATCAGATGCTTGTAGCATACAAGATGATTCGTCAACTTGACTTCTATAAATTTAAAATTTTATGCAGGTCCAGATATAACAACTCAAAGCGAATAACCTAAAACCATATGTATAATGTTTATCTGGCATGTAACTGTTTCAAGTGACGTCTAGTTTTTAACGCACACATTTGTTCATCAACACATAAAAATTCTTCCATGGGTGTAAAAAAGGAAAGATTTTTTAAAAGTTGATCAGTTAGAGGCCTAAATTTATAAAATTTGATGTATGCCAAGTTGCCCTGCCTTACTCACTACTTGAAAGAGCATTATTATCATTGGGATAGAGATATCTTCCGAATTTTTTCCCTATTCATTAATAGGCATGGTATTTTGGATAAGGGATATTCCAGTCACAAGGTTCCAGTAAAATATGGAGTGTTTTACATTCGTTTAAGCTGCTGAGCATACAAATTCCCAAATATTTTCAATTATCCAATGTTGTTACGAGTATAACGCTAAGATTTTCAGGTGTTCGTTGCGCACTGTATAAAACAGTTTATTCAGCAATCAGGGGCGTAGCTAGAGGGGGGGCAAGGGGGGAAATCTTCAGTTGTCCCTGGGCGCTGAAAACCCTAGCTATGACTCTGTCAGCAATAAGCAAATGAGTTCATTGGAGAAAAGTTAGGGAAAAAATTCATAAGGCATCTAAGCATGCTGTTGCCAAAAGGATACCAATATATTTTGCGTCAAAACTTTTAAAGAAGAATATGGCTGTGAATTGAGAAAAAACATGTAAAATGAAGCAAAAGTACTGGTAAAGGAAGATTTACTATTTAAAAAAAAATATGGAATTAGGCGTTTCAGTAATTTCAGAAATATATATGGATATACTTTTCGATCCCAGCTGACTTGTGGTGCCATCTATGAAAGGAACTTAATAGCTTTTCTACTACATAATTTTAATTCTTGCTTTTAATGCATAATGCTGCCTAATGATTGCATGTTCATACATTATAGAGCTTAAAATAAACTTTGTAATGAAATGCAGCAGTACGCAATGTACCGTTAAGGTTTCGGCAATTTTTTTTCGAATCTTTTTACCATTTTCAGTTACTTTGATTAAATTTCTACACTTATACATCATTTTCTCTCTTTATTTACTTTAATTTTTTTCAAAATTTGATAAAAATGTTAATTAATGTTAATGGGACAAAACTGAAATTCGTTAATAATACATCCAGCTTTTGTTACTTGGATAAAAGCTGGATATCAAATATTGAATTATATCAAAGTACCAGAAAATCAGAAAACCATAAAATTTCCTATCTGCGGTTCTCCGACACAGTGAACGACTCCTACGGAGTGACATTAAAAACAACAACGGAATTTATGAACATTATTTTTACAACATTATTACATTAGAGCTTTTTGGTGAACTTTGATACCCTCAAAGCGAAAACTAATTAAATATAATTAAACTTGAATTTAATTGAAACTATATCGATTTAGACGGTGAACAGGTACAGGCTTTTTTTCGTCAGACACAAACCATTGGTAGTTGTCTCCAAAGTTGACATCCTCACCATGGCAGAAAAGATAGAGCTGGCATTTTTGACACTGTCGTGCCATTGCCATGATGGTTGATGCATTTCATCTTCAGGAAGTGCGTCACTTTCTCCTGAATTCTGGATGCAGATGATATTTTAGTGGCGGTTCCATCCTTCTTCATAATAATGCATGATGGTCTAATGCCTGCGCTGTCACTACTCTCCTGTGTCAGGGACAATGGTAGATACTTGATTTTCCGTCACACTTAGCCAATATGAGTCCTTGTGTCTCTTCGTTAATAATAACTGCGAAGGATCATTTATAGCATTACCGTAGATCCATTAGAATAGAAAGAGGCTGATCAGTTCTTTAGGGTGGTCACTGAGAAACACCAACAGAAGTGGAAATGCTTATAGTACTCTACACTTTGCAGTAATTTGGCAGAAGGTGGCAGAGTGCCAGGCGATCATGTGGAGATTTTGGTGTTAGTACCTATAGTAATAAAGTCTTTTTGGAGTTACCGGCATACTGCCACTATATAGTCATCGCCTGTAATAGCTGCTCAGTGAAAAATTCTATTAGAAATAAAATGAAAATGAAAGCACCTCTTTCGAACCCAGTATTAAAACTAATGCCAGAAAATGAGAGCTTTAATTGAAACTAAAAATGGAAATATATATTATTTCTTATTTATATATTATTTTTCTAATAATTCACAGGATTTGCAATAAAGAAATATCAAATAATATCTCTTTATTGCAAATCCTGTGAATCCATCAAATAATAGTTGATGGATTCGAAGCCATCTGTTGCAGAGGCCATCAACAGAGAAATCAATATCCGACAAAATATCATTTCAAGGGTCTGGAGATAATACCACAACTTTAAAATGTTAATCGTCAGGAAGTCACAAAAGGCCTATTGCTGAATCCAAATCAGTTTCTCGCTATTGAAATGAATTCAGGTAATTCACATCTGATCTAAAAGCTAATAGGAGAAATTATATAATGAATTAATTTCACCAATAAGTTGAGGACCAGTTTGCATTTAATTTAAATACAGATTCTCAACATTCTTTTATCCTATAATCTTCATGAAATGTGTGTTTTTCCAATTTTTGCATCAAATGCCAATGAAAGATTAAATTAATGGCAGTAGTTTTCTTGTCTCAAAAATCATGCAGAAGGCAATGTCTAAAATGCATTTTTCCGAACAAAAATATTGTTAATTCTCAGAGGTAAGCAGACGAGATCTTCGATTCACTAGTCAGACTTCAACGGAGACTGTGGCTGGAGGAGGCAACGGAGGCTTTTTTTTTAAAGCTGTCTTGTACTGCTAGCCTTCCGTTGACAGACAACTGAGTCCACTAACTTCTCAGCGCGTCTTCAGAAGCTCAGGTACACTTTTTTTGGAAACACTGGTGTCTACTTTACAGGATTTAATTTCCATTTAAATGCACAGGCAACCTTTGATGTGTTTCTTGTTAGTATATGCTGATCAAATGCTGCACTTTTACCATTAAGTTAATGGAGATACCATGATTTTTTATGATTTTATTAAGACGTAGTCATGCGTATATTTCAAAGCACTTTTGCTGTGCAATTCTGCTGCATAATAAACATAACATGTTTGTATGGGAAAAAAAAAGTAAAGCATTCCCTCATCCCAAATGATGATTTTCTCTCATCTCAAATCATGAAGAATTATCTAAGCTAACCTTCGATCAGTGTTCTAATTAATTCGATTAGTCCGGTCAGTTTTTCCAACTTCCTAAATTATCTAACGAAATTTAAACAACAATATTTTTAGAAATAAGTTTGCTGTTTTCTCAAAATTAAAATTTAGAATGCATTATACTAATGATAAATAGCTATTATACCTTAAGTAAATGATGAGTGAAATTAGATATTTAGATCTCCTCCAAAAAATGTACCTAATATTGTCGCCAGAATAGCGGCTGGAGTTAGGTCTGATATGCGAATGATACTGTAAGTTGTAAAATTATGAAGTTCAATCATCACTGGTTATGAATGCGCTTAAAAAGCTTTTTATACATTGTTCATTTTGTAGAGTTCCTTACTTTGTAAATGCTAATTTACAGTTGAACGTGAAGAATCTTAAGAACTGCTAAGCGAATAATCGTTAAATTTCGTGTGACAAGAAACAACAAGATGGAAGGATAAATACCCTTTATTATTCTAATAAGATTTAACAGAACTCCGTCTTGGAGTGCACAATAAAAGCCGACACTTGGGCTTTAACTTAAGAGGCTAAGAAATAAACTAAAGACATATAGTCGAAGCTATTAAGATTCTAACGAGTTGGCCCCTTAACGCTAATTGCCTGCGAAGCTATCAAGGGTACGGCCGAGCGTAATAACAGCTTTGAGAGAGAGTAGCCAAAAAGGCGGATGGGCGCTAATCAGAAACTCTGATTCTTTCTAACTCAGCAAGTAGAACTTTGCGATTAAATACCGCTCCTCCTCATCATGTATTCAGACGTGATTCTAAAACTACGTTCTAGCCGGAAGTAAGTTGAAGTTAAGAATTTTGATAGGAAAGAAGTTTAACCCAAAATTTAACTGTTAATAAAATTAACATAATCCTTACAATTTAATAAATTATGTTTGGTTTATGAAGATCAGAAATTTTAAAGAAATGTTTCGGAAAATTACGGAGACTAAAAATAAAGGTTTTGAACGCTGCTTTTAGAATTTCTAGGATTATCGCAAGAATAACTGATGTCACTAAATAACAAGGATTTGCATAGTGCGTTCCAGTCAAATTTAGTAGCCGAGAAACATAAAATCAAAATCTCATTCTGTAAAGTTATTTAGTAACGTCATTTTATAAGAAAATTAACACAAATAATATCATAAATCATATTAAAGTTTACAAGAAGCTGCAAGTTGAATTCAAAATACTCTAAAAATAAAATTAAATCAGTGATTTACCGAGTTTTGAATTTCATTTTGCGATACGTACGTTAGATATCATCATCTGGTGCCAAATTACAAAATTAACTAACATCAGATTTGGTTTAACACCAGATTATGATCAAATCTGTCTTTTAGAAAATGGTGCTTTTTTTTTAAAGAAATGCTGCTATTTAATAAAAAAAACTTATTACTTTCTTATATAGATTTAATTTTCTAAAGAGGTTGTTTTAGTTCATTTTTAAAGTCTTCCATTGAAAAGAGAAAAATAATTCTTCGGAATAACAACATTTACGAATCTATTATTTTAAGATAATAAGATACTTCCTTTTTTAAGCTGCTATTGCGTTTAGTCCTTAAAACTGGCAAACTTAATGACACCATCTGCAATACTCGAATTTCAGATGTGGCCTCATACTGCGAATTTGAAATATCGCCTCATTTATGCTGAGGCCGCTTTGAAATGGAAGTGCCGTTATTACTTAAAACTATTAAGAGTAGAAATAATTGTGATTTCTTTCTTTTCCAGAAAAACACACTAAATTAATTCTGAGTGCAATGAAAAATTATGAGGATAATACGTGTCTCAGATTTGTGCCCAGAACTACAGAAATGAATTACATCAAGCTTTTCGAAGGAGAAGGGTAGGTAATATTGAAATATTCCTTTTATTGATTTTATTCCTTTTATTGGTAATATTAACATATCTCTTTCACAAAAACTTGTTTATTTTAAGTCAACAGTGGGTATATATTAATATAGTCACCTTTAACAAACAGCAATTAAGGCGCATAAAATAAAGTAGTCTGAAACACCAACGAAATTTTAAGAAAAGCTTGATAATAAACGCATTAAATGGTCCTTTCTACAGAAAGTTTTCATAAGTTATTTCTCTATATTTTACTACCTATTTTTAATATTTGTTAATCGAAATAAATAACTAATTATCACATTATTCTTTAAACTGAGACATAAACAAATGCAATTTATTTAAGGTTGCATTTAGAATGTTTTGTAGGCGGCTTTGTATTCTATCTGCCTCTTACTTTTAGGCTTCAGTAACTGGCAGGGAATGAGCTGCTTAAGTAACGCTGTTCTATCTTGTCAGAAAAGTACGTTCTGTCAAAATCATATGTAAGTGATTAATATAAGAATGTTTCATTTGTTGTGAACAGTATAAGTAGGAGAATGAGTAGGAGGTAATAAGTAGGAGTTGAGGGCAATAAGGCTTCATGTAATTCGTCGCAGAAATAATTACTCTAATTTCGTAACCTTGAAAAGGAAAATCATACTGTTACATATAAAAATGCCAGTTTCAGTAAAGCTGAATCACATTTTCTTTCTTTCTATTTTTTTATTATATGACATAATCTATATCTTTTTAAGAGAAATATGGAGAAAAGTGTAAATAAAAAATAGAAGAATTCGACAGCAGTTTTTTAATCTCATAAAGAAATATTGCTGCTATACATCTTTGCTAATTGCAAAAAGTAGATCCCAGTTTAGAAATCTCAATCCAGATTCCTACTTACAGAAGCAATGCATTGGCAAGATGTAATCTACTGTTGAATATTTAATGTGATATCAAATTAATTATCATACTGCGGTCAGATACGCAGTTTATGGATTATTAAACACGAAGAGAAGTAATAATGCGTCACCTTTTTGCTTTCTTAATGCTGTGGTTTGATTTGATTTTACGCAAACTTTAATGAATCAATAATAAGTTTTACAGGTTTATCAACAAAAGAAGAAATATATTTCAGAAATTTATACATATAGCATAAAGCAAAATGCATAATGGGCTCGACCGATATTACAGCAGCAAGATGGAGGACATACAACTACAAATATCCATGTCTGCTCCGAAATTCGAACGCTCAACGATATAGTTGTCAAGATCCCTAAATGAAGTCGTTTGAAATAAAAGAAACAAGAAATAAAATTAAACAAGACACCCAACTATATATCCCGCGTTTCCTACTATGAGAACCCTTTTACAGGCTCATTAAACAAGAACCAACAAGCATTTCATGACGGAAGAACGGCTTGTATTTTTAAGGTCCTGTACTGAAATTTGCGGACAGATTCCATTCCAACATGTATAGAAGAAATCAGCAAATGTGTCGGCATTGCCAATTATGTCACATTTTGTTAATCCTGGAATTAATTTCGATTCTTTTGAGAGTCACGGCCCACCAGCGGCCGAGCGGTTCAGTCGCTGAACACTGGTAGTTCGGTCCGAGGTTCAAATCCCGCGAACAGGCTGGCTGCATGGGCGTTTTCGTGGTTTTCCCCATGTGTAACGTGTATACGAGCCAGTTTCCCTTAGAAAGTCCTCCACGAAGGCATCCCTTCCCTTAGGCAGATAGCCCTAGTGTGCTTTGCCATAATTAAATAAACCAAACCAAACCTTTTGAGAGTCACAAATTAGAGTCTATTGTTAAGGTCATGAAAGAGAAAATAAGTTTCTACGTCCCACTTTATCTGCTTGGTTCATGTTCCCGAGCATGTTGAATTCGATTTCAAAATCATACATATTTATAAAACCATGCATGCATAAAAGAATTTTGGTATTTTCATCATATTTTGATGTTATCATTTCTCAGGCTTCATTCTTAGTATTATTTCTTAGGTTTTCGAGAGAACTTAACTATATTTTTCACGTTAGACTCAATTTCAATAGGAAATTTTTCTTATAAACGTTATTCTTTTCTCTCGTAGAAAGAGAAATTGTTAATTGTTGTTATTGTTAATGACTTATCTATACTTCACTATCAACAAATTAATTTATGTTAAATTTAAATGAAGTTATGTCAATTAAGTATTCTTAGTAAGTCATATGTTGATATGCTTCGGTCCCACTTAAAATATTTAGCATTTCGTTGAAGTTCACGTAAACAGTATTCTTTTTCGCTATATTTAATTCAACACGCATTGCACAAATTGCATAAAAATATTACAAAAGTAAGTTTTTAAAATTTATAAATAAAAGAGAATATTACCGGCAAAATATGAAACCTGACATTCTGTAGAATACCTAAGCATTTTATAGAATGCCAGCAAAGTGTTAAATACATCTCCATATTATAGAAAATGGCCGTGGTACGTATATGATAAATCGTGCAATTTATTGGCCGTTGTTATGAGTGTGACAGAGGATAATTTCTACCAACTTCGAACTCCTGAAAGAATTTGAGAATATATAATGAAAAGATAATGAGAAGCCCCAATTAAAGCACTTCAGATTTCTGCGATTAGTGGCGGCAGTAATGATTTCTTCATCATAGGACACATCAGTGGAGTTCCTTGCAATATGACCATCGATACAGGAGCGCCAATGTTACCATCATCAGAAAAGATCTGGATCAAGAACTTGAGGGTTAAACTTATCTGGACACCTCCCTGCGTGTATCCGGTGAAAAGATCGACATCGACGGAAAAATAACCGTTAACATCACGTTTGGAAGTGCCATCTACCATCACATGGCATATGTGGCAGAGATTACAGATCCTTGCATATTTGGATTGGACTTTCTAAGGAAATACAATTTCTCCTTGGACTTTAAAAATAACGAAATGCGTTCGGAATTAATGATGAGGGAGTTAAATCGATCCTCAAAATCACAGCACAAGACTTCCTTACTCAGACAAGACTCAAGATTTTTACTTTTTGGATTCATAGTCGAAAATGGAAATTTCCACTACGCCATCATAGAATATTCTAAGAACTTTAACAACTCGAAACGAGTACTAGTAGCCTCAGCACTCGTCGATCTATCGAGGTCCGTTATCCCGATGAGAGTTGCCAATGTAACTGAGAAGGCGAGAGTTGTTAAGAAAGGGGAAGTGGTGGCAGCATGTACTCCAATGACCAGCGTTAAATGCAACAGTAAAAACACTCCAGAATCTACATCTTCAGAGAGCATTACATCGGAGTTATTGCGCAATCCGAAATTAAGCGATGATGAGAGGAATGCTACCGAACGTGGCATTGAAGAATTTCAGGATGTTTTCTACCGCTCGTCTTCTGACGTGTGTCGAACCAGTTTGACAGAATATAGAATCGATACCGGTGATCATCCACCAATCAAACAACATCCAAGACGTCTACCGATTGCTAAACAGGAATAGGTAAAACACATTTAAAGGACATGCAAGAAAGCGATGTCATTGAGCCTTCAGCAAGTCTATGGGCGTCTTCATTCGTCCTCGTCAGGAAGAAAGACGGTTCAACCAGATTTTGCTTTGACTATCGCCAGCTGAACGAAATTATGAAGAAAGACAGCTACCCTCTTCCTAGAATCGACGATGTTCTGGACATTCCTTCTGGAAGCAAGTGGGTTTCGACGCTTGATCTAAAGAGTGGATATTTGCAACTACAGAGACATCTTGATGACCGAGAAAAGACGGCATTTACTACGGGACAAGCACTTTGGCAGTTCAAGGTTTCCAAGGTTTAGACTTTGGCAGTTCAAGGTTCAAGCTCTATGGTTTGGACTCTGCAATGGGCCGGCATCATTCGAACGCTTATGGAGACTGGAAAGGTCTTTCCTATGAAGACTGTCTGATATACCTAGATGACATCATCATCATCATCGTCGGAAAGAGTTTTAAAGAACACCTAAGAATCTTAGAAATATGCTTTAGAAACTGAAAGAAGCTAATGTAAAGTTGGGTCCCGCTAAATTTAATTTATTCAGAATAGAAGTAACTTACCTCGGACATTTCATCTTTACCGAATGTGTCTGCACAGATACAGAAAAAGTGTTAGCAGTTGAAGACTGGAGTCGATCCGAAAATGTTCATCAGCTAAGAAATTTCCTGGGGCTTTGCACTTACTATAAGAGATTTGTGAAGTACTTTCCTTCCTTCGCAAGATCCCTTCACAAACTGACAGAAGGCAAACAAAAGTTCTTGTGGACAAAACAATGTGAGGACACATTTAACAACTTAAACGAAACTTTAACATCGGCTCCAATCCTGATGTATCCTCATCTCGACAACCCATTTATTCTCGACACGGATACCAGCAATGAAAGTGTTGGTGCTGTTTTGTCCGAAGAAATAAATGGCCAAGAACGTGTCGTGGCCTACTGGAGCAAGCGCCCATCAAAACCGGAGAGGAATTACTGAGTTATCAGGAAAGAGTTACTCGCTATAGTTTAGGCCGTAGAACATTTCCATCATTATCTCTACGAGAGATAATTCCTGCTCCGCAAGGATCATTATTCCTTGACCTGGCCTTTTAAATTTCAAGAATCCTGAAACCCAAATAGCCAGGTGGATACAAAGACTCCAGGAATATAACATCACTATCCTTCATCAGAAGGGATCACATGAGAACGCAGATGCCTTGTCTAGAAGACCCTGTGCAGAAAGCAGCCGATATTGTTCCAGGGTCGAAGCGGAATACGAGTTGTTTAATTCGGTCGCACGACAAATTACATCACCCTCCGCTGATTGAGACCCATGGTCTGACAAAAATGTCAGGAAAATCCTGCTGGAAGGTGGAGACACTAAACCCATAAATTGATTTAATGGAGTCTTCAAACAGAAAACCTACTACTGGGACCTCTGACACGAACTGCTGATGGCAACAAATACATCCTCATTTTCATAGATTTCTTCAGAAATTTGAATG